TTACTACTAGTAAGGCACTTGTTACTAGAAGCGATGCACTTGTTTCTAGTAGCTTCTTGTTACTAGTATAGTGATGCCCAAAAAGGTGTCCAGATGGAGCTTTAGCGATTCTTGCAGTTTGTGCAGCAATACATGCTTGTCAGGAGCAGAGGCCCCTTTGGACATTGTCAAGGGCTTGCTGGATGCCACGGAGCGCAGATTGATAGCTATGGCAGATTGTGCTACTACGGTGGGTTGAGTCAACTAACACCATTGATTCAGGGCATTTCAGGGCTTCGTTTTTCAGCTACAAGTGCAAAAGAATGGCGGAGTGGCAAACCCTCTTGCCACACGCGCAGACAAAGCTATCCTATCCATGCCTAAGCTCAGGAGAATGCCAAAGCTTGCTTGGAGGCGGGTGATGCTGCCAAACTGTAATCTGACTTAATTATATTAGTATAGTCCAATCAAAGGAAATGAATGAATCCAGCCGACACTGACACTGATTGTTGTAGCAGAATTTAGCTTTCGTTTGCTTGTAAATCAACGGACATCCTTTTTTGCCTTCTGAATATGTCTCAAAAGCCTTGTTTGCTATTCTTCGAGCGCTTTGCTGCTCAGGTGTTGAAGTCTTTTGGGGCGAAGGAGTACAGCGAATTGGCAGCCTGAACAATGCAGCCAACTGTACTGATCATAGAAGCGATGGCCTCCAACCTAAGAGCGATGGCCTCCAACTTAAGAGCGATGGCCTCCAACCTAGTCTCCTAGTGTTGGACATCAACGTTTAGCAATACAGCCGCTTTCTGTGCCTTCCCGTAGCTCGGAGGTGATTCGGAAGTGCAACCTTAGCGCCTTCACAGCTGCAGATGCTACGAGTGCATTCGTAAGAATCCAGACCAGCACAAGACAAGCATCAGTAATACTATGTATACAATACTCAAATCATGGTCATTGAGCCTGAGCTTTTGCAGCTGTTCTTTAATGTCCTCCACGAAGCAGGGATCTGCAGACAAGTTGCAGAGTGTGTCCTTTTGCTTTGATTTTGCCCTGGTCATCACCTGCCCTCTCGTGATATAACTGAAGCTGCCTGCTGTCTCGATTGAGTCTGTGGATCCCTGGAACTCGTGCCGGCCAGCGCAAAGTGCCCGTGGCCTCATTATTCAAATTGGAGTTACTGGACTCCTGTTTGGCACACTTTGGGGACTAAACTGACTAAACGATAGAGTCTCATAAAGTCCGTCACCTCAATGGCCAAGCAAAGTCTCCAGCCCCTCCAACCATCAGGCTGAGCACCCAAGCAGGTGCCTGAGCGGAAAAGAACCTGGCGGAGTTGACATGCTGAGTCTTCGATGAATTTGTGTGAAGACACTGGCAATTTAAGATCAAGTCTGGAGTCTGGAACACTACTAAGCTTTGGATCGTTTGTGTGTAGTACATTCAAAGCTTTGGATCGTTTGCAAGCCGCTCACCAGATTTGATCATCCCCTTGCGCCGAGCTCAGGTGCCTGCCCCTTTTCGCCAGTCGAGCCTTGACTCAATGATCTGGTCGGTAGTTGGTGTTATGTCCCTGATCAGTTGGTTCGACTGCGCCACTGCTGACAGATGCCTCTACCATCCTGAGAGATGCTTCCACTCTGGAAATGGTTGATGACAGAGAGTGTTTCTGCTTTCCCACGAGCAGGCGTTTTAATTGCATGCGTCTCACAGGGCAACTGGCTCCAAAGGTGTATGGAGATTTTTGCCAAAGGAACCAATCAACAACGAGTATCAAAGCGTTCTGCAAGTAAGCAAAGACCACAAGCTGCTTTGCCTTTAGATTCCCTTTATGCATTAGTAGCACGAAGTAGAGCAACGGCAACACCTCAACGACCTCAGTTGGTTATCGATGGTGAAGAGTCGCTTTATCCATCTCTTGGCCTTTGTCTTTCTTGGGCCATGGCCCTTACAGGCACCTCGGCAAAGTGTTGCTGTAGAGATTTTTGGATGCTCAACACTGGAAAGGAGTAGATTGAACTGCGTCAACTCAGTGAGCACCGTACAGTAATTCTTGAGAAGGTCGTCGAAACATATTTTCAAGAGTTTACAAGTAGTATTAAGTTATTAAGTATCACAGCCTCTTGCGCCGGAAGCACTGTAAAATCTGAAGAACATGGGGTCCCAAATGTGTTCTTCGTTCCCAACTCGGTTTTGGGAGCATCCAACAAGGTCGCACAGCTAGCTAGCTGACTACAGACTAGTGACTAGTATTGACTAGTGGTAATTTAGTTTCCTTTGGAGGTCTTGGTTCGTTGGCAGCAAGTTCGACATCGTTGCTTAGAGTCCGTGGATTTCCAGCTCCGCATGGTGCCCCAGCTGGGCAACGACAGCTGCGTTGGCGGGGTCTGACCGGTGCATTTTATTAGAGAGAGATGAGATATATAGAATGAAACAGAAGAGTGAATAAGAAGCTCTGCACACGTCATAAACTTGATCACTTCTTGGAAGCGACAAATGCTGACAAAAGATGTTGCCGAGGTGCTGGTGCCACCGTCATACTTGTCGGTGTTTCGGGCTCTGGCAAAAGTACGTGCGCACCTTGGGGATCTCTTGAGGGGGAAAAAACAACTCTTGGCTCGCACTCCTTGGAAGGGTTGAAATGACAGAACCAAGTTCCTGATTCTTGTCTAATCATTTTGGAACATTCACGCACCTGTCACCAAGAACAAAGAGCATTTTAGGCTTGTCGAGCAAAAGGACAACTTCAACTGGCACCAATTTCAGCAGGCTAGCAAGTGTTCAGCAAGTGGGAGAGTTCTCGCAATGCTATGGTACCTACCCTGTTGTTTTCAGACGAGACATAAACTCCTGGCACCCCATGCTCTTTGCGTGATTCTCAGAGATGCCAACTAATCGAAACTATGGTGATGCGGCGCAAGCCGCGATGAACTTTGCCACAAAGTCAGGATCCCAGAGCATTGCTCCTCTGTTGCCTACTCGAGAGTTACGTGACCGAATTGAAAAGGGAGAGAATGTGGTTTTGGTGGATGTCCGTGGGAGTGAAGAACAAGCTGTCTCAATGATTCCTGGTGCTGTGACAAAGGAATATTTTGAGTCTGACCTTCTGCCAAAGCTTCTCGCAAGTGACCCCTCTGACAAGGCACCACTGGTGGTGCCTTACTGCACAGTTGGCTTTCGTTCTGGAGTGTATGCGAAAGAGCTGATTGAGCGGAAAGGGCTGAGGAATGTGCGCAATGGTGAGGGTGTCATCATGTGGACATTTGACGGAAACGGCCTCGTGCAGCCGGGTGGCCCAGGTTCGACCGTTGCCCAGGCTTTGGGACGGTCGGCCGAAGCTGAGCTTGCCCAGACTGCCTGGCCGTCTGTAACTCGGGTACATGTCTTTGGAAAGCCATGGGACATGGCTGCAGAAGGCTACACGACTGAGTACTTCTCTAATACAGGTGGTGCTTGGCGCTTTGTCAAACAGAAGTGCTACAAAGCTGGCCCAACATTTCTGCCATGGTTCACTGTCTTTCTCCTCTTCTACCTGTTCTTTACCCCAGCCTGTGGAGTCATGTACAGCTGTGGCTGTCGTTTGGCGCTCTCAAAGTTTGGACAGGTGGAGACATGCAATATCTACTGGCCCGATCAGCCACCAGAGCACAAATGCCCGTGGTGCACTTGTCAAGGCATTGCTTGCATTTTTGTAGCCAGCGATGCAAAAGCATTTCGCGGTGTTTTGTTGTTGGACATGCTGCCGGATGGCTTTATTGTGACTCTGGTGACCGTGCTTGTGCTCTACTTCACCTTTAAGGCAGTGGACCGATTTCTGCGACGCAGAAATTGCGGGGATTGTGCAATTGCAGCGGTGAAGACGGCAACAGCAATCTCATGGTTTGTTCTATATTGTCTAGCATTTGGTGCTCTTTTCTTTGCTGGCAGCGCAAATTATCCATACTTTTTAGGTTATTCAAGGCTTGTCTAAATTCTTTTGAGTAGGCCTTTCTGTTCAGGGAGCAATCAGGTTCTGAGGCTAGTCTGTGCGTCACTGCAAAGCAGCCTGGCTCGCGCGGAGCAGCTTCTCAACTGGATTCTGGAAGCCGTGGGTTGCCATAGTAGCTTCAAGCTTCCCCAGTCTTGCTAAGAGCGAAGGCGCACAAAGATCTGGAGAAAAGGCGTGCTGCCCAACTGTGCACAGCAAACATTAGTCCTCTCAGATCCTTTAAGAGCCAATTGCTGTAGAGAGGAACTCCAAGTCTCGCACAAGCAGAATATGAGTTCAATATGTGGAAACATCATTTTCAGGCTCCTACAGCTTTTAGCAGAGGGTACTCCGGAAGAGGCTGTGGGCCTGACATGTTTGCTCCATCACCTTGGTGAGGCCTCGTAGGTGGCCGATCGTTCGTTTTGCGCTTGTCTTGTGTCTGGGGATAGGATGTCCATGCGCCAGGCAGAGTTCTACTTCGATCCGTGTTTGCTGCGACCCATGGAAGTTGTGACCCCAAATGCACACTTGGTGGTGGCCGACATTGCGAAAGCACATTGCTAGTTGAGCAGCAATGAGCAATTTCCTTTTTCAACTCACTCCAGTCTGACTTCGTTGCATGCCGTTGAGTCAGTCGACTGTGCAGCTTCACCGAGGTGATCGACCCTGATGCCTTGCGTGCCACAGTGGTGAAGCCCAGTCGAGTGGACTAGGAGCTTCTTGTTCCTAGTCGTAGCGATGCCAGGAGCCCCTAGTAGCGTCCTTGCACCTAGTAGTAAGGCCAGGAGCCCCTAGTAGCTTCTTGACTGGATCTGCATGTGGGTCACTGCCCTTGTGTTGTTGCTCTTATCGTCTTGTGTTTGTAGCTGATCATTTCACAGCAAGTACTTTTAGATGGCCAGGGACAAAATTGTACTGTAGGTTCCTGTCGCACATGATCAATGATCGTCCACTTTGCAAAACTGTACCCTCTCTTGCCTAGATTGATAGTGATTGATTTCAAGCAAGGGCACAAGCCAACATGCTCAAGACCTTGACAGATACACTATATATCACATTATATCACTATATATAATATATACAATTTCAATTTCAATTCAAATCCCTTCTCAACTTTTTAACCAACCGTCCACAAGCATTTGAAGGCACTCGTGTGACGTGTAACATGTACATCGATGATGTTTGAGGTGGCGAGGGAAAGAGACCTGCAGCAACTGGCGCAGTGGCACCTTGGGCAAAGATTTCATCGACGCAGCTCTAATTTTCCTTTTGTGGACGGGCTTGGGGTTTATACTCAGTTTGTGCCCTGGCCAAGTGGCAGATTTTTTGTTTGAATCAGTTCCTTTCCATTCCATGATGAACCTCTCAAAGGGACCTGATGAGAAGTAATTTGCAGAGTTTGTAATTGTCCATTCAGTCAGTTTTCTTGTCATGAGTGCACCTGCTATGTGTTTCAGGGGCGTGGAATCCTCTCCCAGATCTGCCCGATCCGTGAAATGGAAGGTCGGAACGAGTAGGGCCGAGTAGGGCGGGCAAACACCAAACCAGGAAGAAACATAACAAACACCAGTAGGGCTGAGTAGGGCCTTGCAAAGAGGTTTTGGGCTCTGTGGAGCATCTAGTGAAGACCTAGTAGGTTGGAGGCCATTGCTAGTGGGTTGGAGGTGATCGCTATTAGGTTGGAGGCTTTTGGGCGTGGGTCTCCTCAACCTGAAATTTGCTTCAGACATTGACAGCGGGTCCTCGCCATGAGGCTCGGTGCGCTCGGGCTTTGCATAGACCTTAGCCTTCCCTAGTGACACGTCATAACTATATTGCGAGGTAGTTCTTCTTGTAGCCTGCAGGAGATTTTGAGAGTCTTGTTCTCGCTTCACTTTACAAGATGTCATAGACAAGCTCTTGGAATGCACAGGTCCAGACATCCTGGACTTTTGCTTCTGGATGAGGCTAGGATATGCTAGGATAATCTAGGATATGCTAGGATCTACTACTACTACTACTACTACTACTACTACTACTACTACTACTACTGTGTAGTTTCTTGCTCGAACCTGCATTTTGGAAGGATCCTGTTCTGATATTATCTTTGTTTCGACTTTGTCTCATCAATGCCTGATGTAGCAACATCCTGAATACAAATGCCGCTGTCACTTTCAACATCGAACTGGCGAGTGCAAGACTTGCCACATCCACCCATCCCAGGGGCTTGTTTCAGCTAACGGGACTGGGTGGAGTCTCGGAGGGTGGGGGGGGTCTAATGACGTTCGGTTGGATATACTTCGGGGGCCGGGGTGTTTGCTTTTGCTTCCTACTAACCCCCGTCACGTCTCAGCTCTTATGTACATGACATGCATGACTGACGTATTTGGCTCAAGCCTGGTAAAGCAACCGCTCTCGAGACAGTGTTCTTTCCCCGGGAGCTCCAAGATGATGAGAACGGAGAAGAAGGTTTCATACCTTTAGATGGTGGCGCCAGGTGCTGTTCCACCGACAGAGTCCAAAAAGTTGATCTTCGACATGGACAGCTTCTGACTGGTGTGCAGCCAAATGAGGCAGATGCTCTGTGTTGAACTTAAGATTTGTCACAAGAGTGTGTCTCACAAGGACATGCAGTTGTTAAAGAAGTTGCGAGGTCGTGTGTCGAGCGGTTCTCGATTGACTGGGGCCCAGGTATGCGACCGAATGTGGCGTGACCTCAAGCTGTTCATCGAGGGAGCTGGCTTGTAAAGATGGCTAGAAAAATTTGAACGAGACCTGATCTATGTATATGCCTTCCAGTGGCGTCGCATCCACAGAGGTTCACAGTGGAAGGACGCCGGAGCGTTGTCGAAGAAAGATTGAAAATAGCAGCGCTGCAGACCCAAGCAAAAAAACGTAAAGCAGTGCCGGACTGGTAGAACACCACAAATTTTGGACGTGCGTCAAGACAGAAAGCGCAGAAGCAGTGAGAAGCCACAGGTGAAGCATTTCAAGACTCATGTCGAACGCACAGAAAAAGCGGTTGTACCGTTACAGGTCCCAATACCTTGATTGATGGCGATCCGGAGTGAACGACGGCTCTTTAGCGAGCTTCGGGCGCTTCACAAAAAAACGTCGCCAAGTTGAAGCAGCAGCTTGTAGCTTTGCCGACTCTTCTAGGGTCTGGCTGCAGCCTGACCGAACTGGTGGGCATTCCTTGAGTCCTTAAGTTTTGTGGGTGGCACCAAAATTGGTTTGATATGGTTTGATACATGGTTAAAATTGCTCAGTTTGAATCCTGCACAGTAACCGCATCCGCACTTCGCAAAGTCTCAAGTGTCCTGAGGACCATGTACGGTGAACGCTCGCTTGATCCGTGACGCTCGCTGATATCCGTGTACACTTTGAAAGGGAACGCGGATCCATGAGTCCAGAATGCGCCGCCATATCGAACCATTTTGTTGAAAGAGGGTGCATGGCTGTGGATATGACACTTTCTTCCCCAGTGGTGCAGGTGCTCGACCTCATGCCGAGGCATTGGTTTTTCGATCACGGATTGGTTTACAGATGTCAAAAGACCCACTGACTCGTAAGGCTCGTAAAAAAGTTGCCAGTTGCCTCCGCATGTTGAACCCTGTTGTAGGCCTTTGCGGCTACGCTTCGCAGCGGACATGCACACAGCAGCCGGAATCTTGGTTCAACAAAGCAAAGGTTCTGATCCACAAACTTCAGACTGCCAACTTCAACACTTGACAAATGTTTTCCGAGCCTGGTCAAATCCAATGTTGTCGTCCTGACAGGCTAGGAAGTCTAACTTCGCCACGGTGTCAGCCACTCACTGTTTCTTGACTGCAAAGTTTGGGTTTGTGCGGTCAGTTGAGAGCCCACTACCTGTGCAACACGAGCAAACCAACTTCTTTGATGAATTGCTCAAAGACCTTTGATACTGTACCTTGGCCTCTCTCTGGTGCTCTTGTCAAACTCCACTGGCAAGATCCATTGCAATTAGTCAGTTTACGGTGTTTATCTCAACAATATATACAATGGGTCCAATAGGTCATTGAGTCATTGCGTCAAACATATTCAAGAGTTTGTTAGGACTGTGGAGGAGGGACATTGACGATTAAGGTTTGGCGGCTGATGTGAGCTGGCTTCGGGACTCTTGTGATGAGGCGCGAGGACTGCGAGGATGCACTTCGGAGTGTGCTTGAAGGTATGGGTTTAACATGGCTTAGTGATTGACCTGCCAGGGGCTGAACGTGGATGGCAATTAGAAATGCATCAAGACTTTAAGACCCATGTTGGGTGATGGTGACGGTTGCACCGTCATGAAGCAGCTTGGAGGTTTGGATTCTTGAGCAACGCCGATTCCGACGTCTCAGCCGGGGATCCGGTGCAGATGTGCCGTCTCCAAATCTGTTGAACCATGACTTGCGAAAGGTTGGTGTTAGTAAGGAATGTGGGGGTTCTCAATAGTATATAGTAAACAGATGTTGTAAACAACACTTAAGTCAGAATGACGCCTGGGAGTTAGAGTGTGCGAACTGAGATTTGGTCGCCTTCAGTGTCAGAGTTCTTCACACATCCTGTAGTAGCCAATGGGCGGCCCCAACGCCGCAGGATTAGAGTAAGATGTTTAGGAGCTGTGATCAGGCAGATGCTGTGATTCCGAGCGACTCCAAGGCCCGCAGAAGAGCAATGAATTCGAGGAGATCAAGCGCTATGCGGCCCTCCGCAGCCGTGATCCTTACATGATTTACAGGCAGATAGAATGAAGATGTGAGCAATCGCCAAAGCATGCGATGACCAATCTGGTAAAGAGCTGTCGTGAATTTCAGGAATTTGGCTAGAACCTGCAACCAGGATAGGCCCACCTCAACAGAAACAACCGTATCCCCACATGTTGAGCTACGTTGAGATTGTGGCTGGAGCCTGAAAAAGCGATAGGCCCCCCTCAAGAGCGATAACCTTGCTGAATCAGGTCCTCTTCTTGACAGGACCTTTTGGCAGACGCTCATGTGATTAGGAACTATATAGCCGGGCTTCAGACAGCTTTGGTCATGTCCAGTCTTTTCACTATCTGGCATAGAGCATTCACTTGGAATTTCTGCCAGGTATGGGAAGTGTGAATTCTTGAGCTAAGTCAGGAACTCGAAGTCCTGTTTTTTTGCATACTTTTGCATCTTTCGCTATGAAGACCACTCGCAATGAAAGAGAGATAAAGAGAGTTTGCCACGGGTTCTGCTCGTCCAGGGGAATCTTGGAAAGCCACTGAAGTCAATGTGTCGTTCCATCACTGTTCAGCAATTGCACTTTCTTCACCAAGGTGATCGACCCAGATGCCTTGCGTGCAGCGACAGCGGTGAAGCCCAGTAGATTGTACCAGGACATTTATCCAATCTTGACCACTTACAAGTGCTGGCTGAATTGCCTGTGCGGTTGGTTTCTCGTTTTGGAGGTAGCAGATCATTTCAAAACGCGTATTTTACAATCCAGAATGTCCTTTGCTATCAAATCAAATCCCTTCTCAACTTTGGAATCAACCGTCCACAAGCATTTGAAGGCACTCGTGTGACGTGTAACATGTACATCGATGATGTTTGAGGTGGCGAGGGAAAGAGACCTGCAGCAACTGGCGCAGTGGCACCTTGGGCAAAGATTTCATCGACACAGCTTTGCTGAGCTCTAATTTTCCTTTTGTGGACGGGCTTGGTTTATACTAAGTTTGTGCCCTGGCCAAGTGGCAGATTTTTTGTTTGAATCAGTTCCTTTCCATTCCATGATGAACCTCTCAAAGGGACCTGATGAGAAGTAATTTGCAGAGTTTGTAATTGTCCATTCAGTCAGTTTTCTTGTCATGAGTGCACCTGCTATGTGTTTCAGGGGCGTGGAATCCTCTCCCAGATCTGCCCGATCCGTGAAATGGAAGGTCGGAACGAGTAGGGCCGAGTAGGGCGGGCAAACACCAAACCAGGAAGAAACATAGCAAAAACCAGTAGGGCTGAGTAGGGCCTTGCAAAGAGGTTTTGGGCTCTGTGGAGCATCTAGTGAAGATACAGTAACACAATCTTTTTGAATGATTTTTCAGCCGTTTGGGCTCCTGATATCTGCAAGCTTTGAAAGGGAACGCGGATGCAGGAATCCAGAATGCGCCGCCATATCAAACCATTTGTTGAAAGAGGGTGCATGGTTGTGGATAGACACTTTCTTCCCCAGTGGTGCAGGTGCTCGACCTCATGCCGAGGCATTGTCTTTTAGGATCATTTTAGGAAGATTGAACTTCTTGAGCCTGACAAAATACTTTGTACAATCCGACAAACTCAACATGTTTGCTTGAGGTTGCTTCGGGTAGTATAAACTTGATGAAATTTGTTCCTTGCAACGACTGTTGGCAGATGATGTATGTGCGGTGCTGCGCGTTTCAATCTAGGGCCTTCCGCATACTGTACTCTGTACTCTTCTTTCAACTTCTTTCCATCATTCCTTGCATTTGTTGCCAGTTGCCTCCGCGGCTACGCTTCGCAGCGGACATGCGCACAGCAGCCGGAAGTCTAACTTCGCCACGGTGTCGGAGTTCTCCTGTGCCATCGAGAAGATCGAAGCGACACCAGCGGGAATTTGCCCTGCGGGTATAGCAGCCAGACGAATGGGATTGAAAAAGGAGCACTGCACAGGGCCACAGTATGTCTCCCTTATTTCAATATGTTTCAATGATTTGCTTTTGTCACTCGAAGATTCCGATTGAGCAAAGTAAGCCTCTGGAGGCATATGTATTTGGTTATTCTTCTTGGCACGGTGTGAGACGGTGTTGTTTGATGCCGTTTGCATCCATTCGTTTTCTGTTTCAAGCTGAGAATTTTCTAGCCTGGTTTTTGCGCCATTGAGGAAGTGGCTGCCAAGCAAAGTCCAAAGTGCACAGAGCTTTGAATCGAGGTAGAAAAGGAACACGTGCGCGTTTGTTTGGATCAGGAAAATGATGGAATGGCATGGCAAGTTAAGGTCCATTTTCAAACTGTTCAAGTGCCATTGTTTGGCACCTACAAGAGACCAGAGACATTCAGCTCAAAGGTGATGTTTTGCCAACTATTGTTCGCAGCCGTATATCAGCAACACCTGCTTTCACGAACAAAGTGTCATTTCTGTCCACCCTTGCGCAAGGCTGCGCTGGCCCTTGCCGACATTGCCCAGGCCTTTGCTGTTCTGTAGGTCGTGGTCGTGAGTCTGAGGGATTGGCCGCTTTACCAGAGTCGTGATTGGCCGCTGTGACTGAGAGCCCCCAAACTTGCAGACCATGGACTGTTGCCTTTTTTTTTGCCAGGTCACTGGCACTCATCAAGATCTCTTGGAGGCCACGAGATCACTGGGACTGATTCCCACCTGCTTTCTTCCTGCTAGAGTCTGCTAGAGCAACGATCAGTTTGAAGGTAGGCTTCTGATTTCTTTAGCATTGCCAAGCCTGTTGCCTCTGTATGCATTTGTTTCCTTTCCAACAGGAAGACCAGCTGAACTGCCTTCCAGTGCCAGAAGAGGTTCTCTATTGGGTTATTCCCCAGATAGGGAGAACTATTGGGGTTCTTACTTCACGTATCTTCAAGTAGGAAGAGTTGGCGCAGGTAAGAGATGCCTGTGTGCAGTTTGGAGCCTGGGTGCTGGTGCCGCTGCCATTGGATGCTGCTGCCAGGAGGCTGCCGCTGGAGACTGCAAGCGCACGCATCTTCTTGCAGTTCGTATTTGCGACTACAATATCTAACAGTGACGCATAGCCCACCGCGAAAAAGCGCTCGTTTGTGTGCCTATATGGCGCGTTGGAGCCTGTGCTGGTGCTGCTGCCGGGTGCCGCCACAAGGTGCTGGCCAAATTTCTGTGCCGCTTGCGCTTTGGAGCTTGCATGCTGGTGCCAATGCAAGTTGCTGCTGCAAGGTGTTGCTGCCAGATGTCCATGGCAGTCTGCGCTTTGGAGCTTGTGTGCTGGTGCTGCTGCACGGCGTTGCCGCCAGATGTTTGTAGCAGTGTGTGCTTTAGAACTTGGATGCTGGGGTCGCCAGATGTCTATGGCAGCGCGCAACTTGCAGTGTGGGAGCAATTGCTATTGCTTGCATGCTGCCGGCAAGTATCCTATGCTTGGTAATTTTGCTGGAAGGCGGAGCTGCCAAACCTTAAGTTAAGCAGTGAACATTTGCCTCGAAGGTCTTTGAGAAGCTAGCGAAAGATGAGCAGGACTCTGCCGGGAAGCCCAACTTTATGGACAGGAGTTGCCTTTGCTGACTGCCTTCGCTGCCCACATACTCAAACGCCACTTTCCAATACTTATAGATGCGCCCATGGAATATTGTTTTCTTGTGTGTGCTTCAAAGTGTTTGGGGAGCTGAGCAGATGTTTCAAAGGTTTGGGTTTAGGTTGCGGCAAAAACGCATCAAAGGTGGACGGCTGCACACAGCATGAACCAACACACGTTGATACTGCACGTGTTGGATATGGGGTAGTATCCAACAGCAGGGAGCAGGCATGTCTCAAATTCAAAGGTAGTTTCAAGGCTGAAGATGCTCAGCTGTGCTTAGAATGGAATTGAGCAATCATGAACATACACGATCACGGCCCAAACAAACCACCAAGGTCCGGCTTCTTGCCATCAACAACTGCATGGCATTGGGCAGAATTGCATCTGCTCCGGAGTGGAAGGAGATGTGAGCTTGACATGCGAAACAAGAATGAGTGAGAAGAATGAGCCATAATGACCAAAATATTTCGGGAAAACCAATCGTGCGCCTTTGGTGGATAGATGTTCTTTCATCTTCTTGATTTTTTCTTGTAACTGACATTCAAGTATGCGGCTTGAGGAGAAGATCATCGAGGTGCTTCGTGCGTGTGCAGAGGAGAAGAGTTGGAGAGTTCGATACATGATGGTGACGAACTCAGATCCGTAGACATGTTTCAACACAGCGTTCAAGTATGTTCAAGTGGTGTGTGTCAATCATGCAATCGGCGAGTACGGGACCAGTGTACTTAATATTTTCCGTTTCTCCATGATGTGGCAGGACCCTGGCAGCATTTGCCTTTGTTCTCAAAGTTGTTGTAACTAGGCTTAGGTAAATGTTGCAAGCTTGCAGCAGAGATCATGGCGCTGGTAGCGTGGTAGTATCACTCTTGACCACACGGTTGCCAACTTTGATTGGGCAGTAGGGTTGATCAAGCTCGACAATGAGTCTACAGTCATTTATAACAGTCATCTATAATCATTCAATGTAGTTTAATTCATTATATAGACTCTGTATAGATCACGCTGCATTTCAGAGCTGCACCGTGACACCGTAAGACATTCACACATTGTTCTCGTTTGTGAGACATTGTGCCACTGGCCGACATGCGAGTCTCGTGAGGCCGACAATGTGAAGGCATTGTGTGGGGTCTTCAAGGACCTGTGTTTTGCCTGCGCCCAAAAACCTCAAGACACGTTACACATCGTTTTGCTTCGGAATGGATGTGACACCTTTCTCACATTGAATACATTTTCGATGCTGTCAGGATCAAACCATTGATGTCATCATCCCGCTACTTACTTGCGCAGCATCATTTGTAAACTGCACTTACTTGGTTTCATTCCTTTTCTGTTGAACATTTCAATGGCAAGAACTGAACTGATGTTTTTCTTGAGGATATATAATTTATCGCCGTTTTGTTCACTTCTTTTAGTGCTTTGCTTTGGATAAAGTGACGTGCCAGTCTGCCAGTCATCATCGGGTTGCCATCGGGTTCGGTTCCGCCCTAGGCTCTATTTGCGGCTTCTAGGCGATGCTGAAGTGGAGGTGACATTGAGTTACTTTGAAATGATTTGTAAGCAGGACGCATATTATCTACCGCAGCTGCACTTTGTTGGAAGAATAGCTCAGCTTGTGGCAAAGCCAGTGAAGACGACTGGGCTCTCTTTCAGAGGTGCGAACCATTGCAGCTGCCCGAGTAGCCGGTGTTGCTGCACTATATCCAACCAAGGTGCACCTGGGACACAAGGAGGAAGTTCCCAGAACACGGGACACCACTGAAGATGCTCAAGACATCTCAAAGCACTGCGAGTACATTGTTTTACTCTCAATGATTTTACATTGTTTTACTCTCGGGTGAGTGCAGGATTTCTTCGGTCGG